GTGCCTGCTCAGCTTCAAGTAAAGGGACTTCTGAGGGAGCCATAGTCTCTCCTGAGCCCGCAGCTCTCCGTGACTTCCTTTCCTGATCGAGGGCCAGAGCGGAAGCTAAGGAAGGAAGGCATCAGGACGTGGTGATAAACTTTTCTGGGAAGAAGGAGGCAGCTTCTCCCTCCCCACACCCTAAAAAATTTTTAAAAAGAGAATCTCGCTGACTTTTATCATCTGTTTTCTAGGGATAGACGCATGGGAGTGAGAATATGCGGATTCCTGGAAACCTGTAATTGGAGCTGTTTTGAATAAAAACAGAAGTGCGTCCCCATAGGGAAGGTTAAATGATGTTTAACCTTAGGAAAGGGAATTGGTGACTAGAAGGGTCTGCATGTCAGAAAGGGTAGAAATTTGCCCTAGCAGGGTTGCTCTGTGGCTAGAGCACTGGCCCGCAGACTGAAAGGTCTCAGGTTCGATTCCTAGTCAAGGGCATGTATCTTGGTTGCAGGTTCCATCCCCAGCCCTGGTTGGGCACATGGGGGAAGCAACCAATCGATATGTCTCTCTCACATCAATGTTTCTCTCTCTCCCCCCACTTCCCTCCCTTTCCCTCTTTCTAACCTCAGATGAGGATTAACAGAAAAGAAAAGAAGAGAAGAGAAGAGAAGAGAAGAGAAGAGAAGAGAAGAGAAGAGAAGAGAAGAGAAAAGAAAAGAAAAGAAAAGAAAGAAAGAAAGAAAGAAAGAAAGAAAGAAAGAAAGAAAGAAAAGAAAGAAAGAGTAGACATTTGAAGTAGAAAATGAGGAAAGAGGCTAAAAAGTAGAAAGTAAGTCGAAGCTGTATTTCAGGCTGTTAGAGAAACTGAAGTCGGACTGAAGGTCAACCAGTGAGAACCCTTCGAAGGCCCATTCACGGAGGGTGGACAAACTGCAGTGGGTTCACACCGCGGACTGCTATGTGGCCACAGAACTGATGCTGATGCACGCAACGCCGGGTGAATCTCAACAGCATGATGAGTAACAAAAAGCCAGACACAAAAGAAATCACAGCAGGATTCCATTTACATAAAGTTCAAGAACAGGCAAGAATAACTGGCTTGCTGTAATTCAGAACAGAGGGAATGGGGGCGTATGAATTGGCTGGAAGAGGCACAGGGACTTTCTGGGGTAACTTGGGTAATAGCAACATGGGTAGGAATCTTTTTAAATGCCCCCTGGGCCTGCGCGCTTTCTTTAGATGTTTGCCCTCAAAAGCACCAGGTCCTGCCCCTGCAACAACCCTCCAATGGCTGCCTGCTGCCCTCAGCATCAAGCCCAGACCTCTCCCCAGGCTCCTAGGCCCTACAACAGAAGATCTCAGAGGACAAAATCACATGGAGGAGGTTTTGTACTGAGGTCTGAGCCCCGTGCAGATAATGAAATTAGACTCTAGGGCAATGTTCTTAGAGTGGGGTGACTTTGCACCAGGGGACATTTGGCAATATCCGAAGACACTTTCTGTTATCACAACTAGCGACTCGGTACTACTGGTATCCAGTGGGAAGGGGGGAGGGGGCAGGCTGCTGCTAAGCATCCTACAATGCCCAGGACAGGTCCCTAAAAACGATGATCTGGCCCCAAATGTCACAGTGCCGCGGCTGAGGTTGAGAGACTGCTGTAGGCATATTATTTTAAAAGTCCCCAACCTGCACCAGACTTGAGTCACTCCCCCACAAAACTGGCTCCTGCCAGTTTCTTTACCCTCATCTCCTACCCTCTGCCCTCAGGTTCTGCTACCACAGTCTTCTTTCTGGTCCTCCCCCAGAACCATAGAGAATAAACGTGTGTCATTTCAAGCCTCCAGGTTTGTGCTAATTGGTTACCAAAGCCCTAGGAAACTGAGTGGCACCCAGGAATCCGCACGTTAATGACCATCCCCCTTTGCCGGCTCTGACACAGGAGATCGGGTGGACCATACTGTGGGCAGCAGTACCGGGCTGCTTCTCAAACACAGCCCAGTCTCAGGGATCCAGCGAATTCTGTTAGAGTTGGAAAGACCCCACAGCAAACATCCACTTCTACCTGCTCATTTTAGAGATGGGGAAACTGAGGCCCGGGAAACTCCGCAGCAAGGTGGAAGGATGAGAGATGCTTCCATTCAACTCTGTCTTTACAGGCTTTCAGATTCCATTTGGAGGTTTCCAAATGAGTTATTGTGCAGACTGTCGATAGCTTTGCTATCTCATAATGACCCAATCGTGGAACGATTTAGCAATCCTGCTAATTGCATTTGGGATATAGCAGTTGGGTAACTAGTTGGTGATTACTCATTCCCAAGAGCCCTACACATTGCATTACAAGGAAGCTAATCTTAGAAATACTTGTTAACGTCGATGATAATTACTAAGTAATTGGCTAGAACACGCCATTGTGAATTTATCCAGGATCTGCCAGGTAATTATCTGGTCTTGTGTTCCCTGTAAAATAAATCCAGAGTCCAAAAATGGTTCCAGTTGGTTGGCTATCATCCAACCACCGACCTCTGCCAGCCAACTGTGCGAATGCAGGCGATTAATCAAATTACTCAAATATTTGCTTTTGAACTGAATGTTAAGAAACCTGGATGGCCAACAAGTGGACGGTGCTAAATGGGAAAGAGGGGTGCACAGAGGCCCCCCCAAGATAAATATATAATCACCCAGTAATATGGGATAAATGCCACTTCTTTAGGGGCTCATCTGGCTTCTTCACACAAAATACCAAAACACTTCAGAGACCAATTATTTGTCCCAAAGCTGCAGCGCCTTTATCACGGTGCCAGGAAGAGGCTGTGCTATTTGTGAAATTTGCAGGCAGTTATGATGCTCGGGAGGGGGCTCAGAAGAGGGGCCGCAAACACAGCTGGCTTGTAGGATGGAGACACATTTTCATGAGGACCACTTATTTTTCAAGGATGGCTGCTAACCGAGCCGTCTATTTCCAATTAGCCAGCCCTTGGCAAAGGGGTGCGAGAGGCTTGGGTTCCACTGATAACCCTGAAAAAGTCGGAGGGTGGAGGCAGGAGGTCCTTAGAAAGGCCAGGCTAAAGAGAAAAGACAGTGGATTTCAAATTTCTAGTTTGGGGAAGTAAAAACAGGGATTAGAAAGCCAGAAGGTGAGAGAAAGCTTGGGAGCAGACTGGGGGGAGTGGTGGGCAGAAGGCCAGTGCTGGGGAACAGACCACCTTCCAACCAGACCTGTGCGCCCACGGAGAGGCTGCTGCCTGCCTGCTCGTGAAGAAGACACGTGCTGGGGAGGAAAGGGGGCTGAGGGCCTTGTGTTGGCAGGTGGTAAATGGCCACAGACAGTCCCGTTCTCTGCATCCATGCCCTTGCAATGTGACACTGCAGTCCTCCCATCAGAGGCAGAGTCTGTTTCCCCATGCCTCAAGCGGAGGTTGACCACGTGACTTGCTTTGGCCAGTGGATATTAGCCAATGGGACACAGACAGACATGTGAAAGGCACTTGTCCATTGGGGCTTGACCTCTTGCTGTTCTTGGAGCCCTGGGAGCACGATGGGAGTGAGCCCGAGCTGCCCTGTTGGGGATGAGAGGCCACGTGGAGGAGAACCGAGGCACCCCAGCGGACAGTCTGCTAACCCAAAGGGCATACAATACCGACCAGCCCCCATCTGACCTGTCAGCTGACCACAGACACATCCAAGGGCCCAGCTACTGAGCCTGGCTCAGTGCAGAACTATCCACAGAATAGAGAGAAACTATGAAGTATGGGGGTAGTTTGTCACTCAGCAAAAGCTTACTGATGCACTCACCTAATCAGAACCCCTCAGCTCCTGAATATTATCTGGGCTGATTATTTGAGAGCCACGGCTGTCCTGTGCAGAATGGACAACCACCGCTTTCACCCCGTTTAAGGAGAGTTGAAAGACTATACCCGAATCCCCAATCCTTTGCAAACAAACACTTACCATTTGACACATGGGTTCCAGTCAACCCACCATCTGCATCATCAATGGTGACAATCACACTCCTTCTACCAATCACCCAGATCTTACAAATGGACTCAAGGAGGCTTTAATCACAAGGGAACAAATCAAAGACACACCAGCTCTTCCCTGAGCCCACAGCTCCCGCTACGGACCTGCCGAGATGTGAGGCTTGTGTATTCGGGATATTCCTGCTGGAGTTGAGTCTGGGGGATGGGGCTCCTAATTCACCTCTGGCATCACAGGCTGCTCCAGAACACACCGCTGCTGTGGCCAGTCCTCATGCAACACGGGAGCCGATGCCAGTTAAACACACACCGAAGGATTGTTCCACGCCGTTCAACTAAAACTGAAGCTTTTTTTTTTCCATGTCCATGTCACTGGGCCAGGTTAGAAAGAGCAAATGCAAGAAAGTTCCTATCACCTGACGTTTTCCTAATGTCAGTTCTCTACTGATACCCTTCTGTGTCACGACAGACCGCGGATCCTGGACATTTCAAACCACAATGGTGAAGGCCCGCACACATGGTCTGATGCTTTGAGGAAAGCCATCGGAATCTTACTCCAAGGCTTAGCAAACTAGGTCTGTGGGCCACCTGCAGCCCATTGCCCGGTTCTGCAAATAAAGTTTTATTGGTACACAACCATGTACATCCATTTGTGTCATGTCTGTGGCTGCCCTCACACTACAGTGGCTGAGACGTTCCTATAGCAACTGTATGGCTGCAAAGCTGAAAATATTTACTACTGGAAAAAGTCTGCAGACCCTGATTTAGTCTGATCCAGTTAATTCCCACATGGAAAAAGTGAGTCTCAGAGATGAGGTTTCACAAATACTTGAAGCACAGGGGGATCTAGAACCGATCTCCTGACACCCCGAGCAGTGCTCTGCTGAGAGATTTTAGCATTCAGAGTGCTTTCTGGAAGGGCAAACCTTCAACCACACACCCTGTGAATGGCAGAGTAAACCTGAATCCCCACTCTTAACTCTCCCGGAGGCAGAGCTTTGGGACTAAGCCCACGGGCGGGGAGCCCGGGTGGGACTGACCTGGTGATGATGGCCAGGTGGGGCGGGCTCATGCAGGCACCCATGAACAGCACCACGTTCTCGTGCCGCGTCTGCCTGTAGGCCATCACCTCCCGCTTGAAGGCCTTCAGCTGCTCCTCGTTGTCCCTCTCGATGTCGATGAGCCGGATGGCCACCTCGCCGTGCCAGCGGCCGTGGTACACCTGCCCGAAGCGGCCCTTCCCGATGAGCTCGCCGATCTCCAGCTGCTCGAAGGGGATGTCCCACTCCTGCAGGAAGATGCTGGTCTGGCTGGCCTTGCGCGGGAAGCTCCGGGCAGAGAGGAGGGACAGGTTCATCTCCTCGAAGTCGTCCTCCGACTCCTCAGCCTCGTCGTGGCCCTCTTCGTTCTGTGGCCGACGGGGAGAGAGAGCTGTCCCCGCACTGCCTGGGACATGGTGTCCTGCTGGGTCCGCGCTGCACGAGGGCAGGCCTGGACCTGGCTCTCTGCATTCTTAACACCCTGAGACACCCCCCCCCCCATCCTCCCGTGTATTCAGTGGGGCAAAACCCCCCTGGGGATTTATCCGGCCCTGAGCTGTGTTTTCAACCAAGAATGCAAATGGCTTGCCAACTTCTGCACAAGTAGCTTTTCCATGATGCACACCATTTAACGGCCCATTAGGCTGGTGCCAGGAGGGGTCACCACTTGGTAGTGGTCCCAGAGTTAGAACAGCCATCACTCAGGACCCCGCACCCCGACCTGCCCCAAGCCCTCTGCATCAGCAAGGACATCACTCGGCTTTGCTGAGTTCCAGGAAGCCCTGGAAAAGCTGGCTTCGCCATCCCCAGTTCTCACCTCTGAGGTCGGCTCCACTTCAATTTGAAGTAATGGATTTCCTTCCAAGCTTTAAAGAAAAAAACAATAAATGTGAGCCTCGGGTGCAAAGGTGGGCCCCTGTATTGACCTTATCCTGGTATGAGAAGCCCCAGAGCGAGAAGTCCTCACCACCAAGCCTTCATCTCGAATTCACTTCAGTGCTGCTGTCGGAAATAGCCCGTAACTTCGCCGTAAAAAGCCGCACATGAGGACTTTGTTTTCAATACTTTTTCTGGGCTGCTCAGGGCTCATTTTTCATGACTGCATTGGTTTCCACTAATCTAGCAGCTTCCTATACACTGCCCTAAATGCCCTAAATGCCGTGGGTGGAAGAGTCCTCGGAGCCCTAGGTGTTCCCTAGAGAGAATTAATCAGGTCTCCAAGCTTCACTGGGATTTGGTATCTTCTGAAAGGATCTTAGTGTTCATGTTGGTTCATTCATTCAATTACAATTATGTGCCAGGAACAGTGCTAAGCCCTTAGAAGGAAAAGAGTTGAAACTGGCCTGGCTCCTGACTTTAAGAAACATTATATTACCACTGAAGGAACTACAGTGAGTATGCAGATATTGTGCAGAAAGGCTAAACAAGGGCCCAAAGTCAGGTAGGAACTGAATAAATGGAGTGAGATGGAAATTCCCAGGAGAGAGGATTCCTGGATGGATTTGGGAGTCCATTGTGTTTAGTTGGACCTTGCAGGTCACAGTGAATCGAGATGTGTGGAATAAGAATGAAGAGGAGGAAGCAAGACTATATTGGACTGGAGGACGCAGGTGTGTGTGTGTGTGTGTGTGTGTACTAAGTATATATATTGAAGGTATTGTGTGGGTATTATGGGATGTGCTCTGTGCAGTTGTCCCGGGCATGTGAGTCTGGTGTCACTGGGTATGTACTGAGGATATGAGGGGATATTGGAGTACACGGGATGGGAGGGGATGGGATATAGTCACAGTGTGTGTTAAAGGGTTTTTGGGGGGTGATTTAGAGTAGAGATGTGTATGTGTTTATAGGGTGAGCTGCAACAGGTGGGAGGAAAGAATCAATGGATACCATGCCCCCTTCCTATTTCCCAGCTCAGCAGATTCCCCTACCCACCTCCTCATCTGGGGGCCTCCCCTATCCTGACCCTCAGACCCCAGGAAGCTGCTGACCCTGCCGACAGAGTCCATCTGCTCACTGGAAGGGCTCCCAGTGAGAGGGAGTCTGAAAGACGTAAGAACTAGCAGGAGAAAGGAGGGGGTCACAAAGTGGCATTTGCCATCATATTAACCAAATACTTATAGTTATTCCGACGGGAGGCGGAATGACACCGCACAATGATAGCTAATATACTGGGAGCCCGATGCCCTGGGGGAGTCTCAGGTGGGACAGTGCCGCTGGGATCCCTCCTCATACCCTACGACTCGGGCCTTTCTCTGTTCCATCCAGGCGAGGCTGCAGCAGCCGGGCTATTAAATCATTTCCCCTCTGTGAGGAGGTAGCGCCCATCCCTCCACGCACATTTAAGCAGACCGCAGGCACTGATTAACTGTTTTCTCGCTGGCACTCCCTGGCTGTCAGTTCATAACCTGGAGCCCGCCTTGCACAAGTTGTGGAATTGGTTTGTGCGCGGCAGAGAAATGATCCGGGGCTACTTGTCAGCATAATATCCCCCGGCAAACTGCTGCTCCTTTGATTTCAGAGATGTACCACTTGGGTCTTTAACAAAGTCTGTAACACGGGTCAGAAAAAACGGAGCAGCTAGCAGAGACGGGAGAAAAACCGAGTAGGCAAAAATATGAGTTGAGAAACCAGTGAAGTCGAAACTAGGTGCCTAACAAGTCCCAGACTTTGGTCATAATCGAAGAAGCTAAGGAAGACTATGTCACTTCAGCTGCCCAAGCCACTGACCACCCTGAGGCTAAAGATGCCCACACAGAGATGTGCCTTGCGGTACTGTGTACAACACTGAGATGTGGGGAGATGTAAGGTCCTGCAATCAGGAAATGGGTAAGGAAATTATCCCACATTGATACAACATTCTACAGCCGTTAAAAACAACATGTGCGAAGAGTCTGGAATAATATGAAAAATGCGACTTTATAGCATTCTCGGATGAAAAAGTAGGATAGAGACTGTGTATATCATGGATCACACAGAGATCAACTATGAATAGAAAGAGCACATATCTAATGTTTTTACAGAATAGTCCATCATATTAGTTATTCTGTACAATGTATTCTGTACATATTAGTTGTTTGTACAATGGCGTAAGCCTGAGGTCAGCGAACTTGTTCTATAAAGGACCAGATGGTAAATATTTTAGACTTTGCGGGCTATACTGTCTCTGTCACAATGGCTCCACTCGGCGGTTGTACCTGAAAGCCACCAGACAGTGTGTTGCAAACAAATGGGTGTGGCCGTGTTCCAATAAAACTTTATTTATAAAAACATTGGATTCGTCCACCATAAGCTGTAATTTGCTGACCCCTGGTATACACCTAAATTATACTTTTGAAAGGGGGGACAATGACATAGAAGAATGGCCCTTCCATTGAGCACTGGCTCTGGCCTGCACGTTGTCTTTCTGATCCTAGGAGGGTCGGGGGGAACAAGTCCAGCCCCTAGCAATCACACGTGACCGGCAGGGCCAGGAACACAGGACAGAGCTGACTTGTGGGGGCCTCTCTCCGCCTGGGCTGCCACACTCTCCCTCTCTTTGCTTGACTCATCCCATGTCTCTCCCCCCTCCCCCCTCCCCCGCTATGTCTCCCTCCCCGTGCCCCCCCCCCACCGCCTCCCAGCATGTCAACTCCAGGAAGAGGAAGGCAGAGAGGTCCTGAGTGGACTGCAGGCCGGGGGGAGGCAGAGGCCTCTGTGCCACTTACATGGGGTTCGAGGTCACTGGATGCAGGACGACCTGGGGCGCCCGGGTCGGTGTCTCCAGAACTGGCACCACATCTGACAGCAGAGGATCAGATAGTCAGGACCCGGACGTGGAGCCACACCCACCAACACCTGACTTCCGGAAGCTAGTAGCTGCTCACCAGCTCGTGGGTCCCCGGGGCGGGCCAGTCCCCTCCCCTTCCTGGACCACCTGCTTAGATGCAGCTGTGGTCCAGATGGCATCTTGACCGAAATTCCCTGCTCTTACCTAGGGGGCTGCCAGAACCCCCAAGCCTCTGGTCATCTCCAAATCCTCCCCACTCCTGCTTCCCTTTGGAATGACGAGGTCACATGGTTTGACCACCTCTTCCCTTCCATGTGCTCTGGACCTCCCCTGCTCTTGCCCATCCTTCTACTGTGGACCACCTTCCCAGACCACCTCCTTGGTGCCATTGCGCCCTTGGGACCCCCCACACTTTCCTTTTCCACTTCCACATTTAGCCATTGTCCTGGGGCCAGGTGATCCCACCACCACCCTCACTGAGCTTGTCCACCCCGACATTCACCTCCATCCATCCCACTCAGAAGGGGCTGCGCTCACAGGGACTCACCTGGGAAGATGAACTGCTGCTTGTATTGGTAGTAGTGGGACGCTAGCAAGAGAACGAAATCACCAAAGTGAGTGCTGCCCTAGAGCAGGCCCTTCGGGTACCAACTGGGCTCCCACAGCCATGGTGTGGGTTCTCTGCCCACCCTTGAGGGTTTCCAGACTCCTGCAGACACCCCGAATTCCAAGGGACTGAGGCGTGTAAAGACACCAGAGCACTAAATATCCAAGCCAACCCTCTCGTTAAAAACTCCCTGAATACAGAGCACCCCAAGTAAGAGAGTCATTCAGAGCACAACCCCATTTTTGGCAAATACATAAGAACGCACACAGAGAAAAGTCTGTGGAACCACAATCTAAAATGTTAAATTTTTCCCTTTGGGTAGCGTGATTGCAGTGACTTAAAAAACAACAACGAGGAGTTTCCTGTGTTTTCCAAATTCTCTGCATTGAGCATTGTATTAGTTTTCTTATTGCTGCTGTAACAAATTATCACAAACTTTGTGGCTTAACACAAAACAAATTTATTGTCTTACAGGTCTTTGGAGGCTAAAAGTCTGAAATAAGTCCTAAGGGGCTAAAATCGAGGAGTTGCCAGGACTGGTTCCTTCTGCAGTTTCTTGCCTCCTCCGGCCCTTGGGGCTGCCTGCATTGCTTGGCTCACAGCCCAATCTCGGCTCCTCCTGACACTGCCTTCCACCGTCTTTGACCTTCTTGCCTCCCTCGCCTGAGGATCCTTGGGATGACATTTAGAGCCCCCAGAAAACCCAGGATAGTCTTTCCACTTCAAGACCCTTAACAAACTCACAGCTGGAAAGTACCTTCTGCCATATAAGGTAACATATTCACAGATTCCCGCGACTAGAACGTGGTCACCTTTGGGGGACCATTAGCCTGCCTACCACAGTATGAATTAATTTCCACGTGTAGGGAAAACTGATGTAAAAGAAATATCCTCAGCGTCACTGCTAATTCTCCTACAATTCATTTTACTTCCAGTTCAGCCCTCTCAGAGGCCAGTTCTTCCAGACAATTCCCAGGGTTCTAACTTACGGGGGGGGGGGGGGGGGCGGGGGTAATGGGCCTGGAGCAGAGCAGCCACAGTGTGTCAGGGAATGGACAGATCACACAGAGCTTTCTAATCTCAAATAAAGGAAGTGAGCAGGGTGGGCTCAGATACAGTCTCAATGGGTGAAGATAACTTCCAAAAACAATGTTATTCATTCAGGGACAAGCTACAGCAGGGAGCTGGCTCACAGAGGATTAGCACAGAGGATTAGTGGTTCCAAGCCTGGGGTCTGAAGGCTGATCCGGGAGGCAGGGTTGAATCCTGGCTCCTCTGCTGGCTGTTTGTAAAAGCTTGGGCAACTCTCCACGTGTATACCGTAGGGATGATAAGAGTCTCCCCTTATAGGGCTCAGCTCATCCTTATATGAAACAGGAGTGCATAGTAGGTATGGAGTAAGCATTGGCTGCTATGAATGAGCCAATATCTTTCGACGCTGTCTTAACTAACAGATAAGAATGATTTTTAATTAAGAGGCAATCAGAGAGCTAAACCATTAGCTGCCCTTGAGGTTGGAATTGATGGATAATCCCCACCCCCAACCCTACCCCAGGATGGAGAGCAAGTCCTGGCATCTCAGGATTCCAAGCGCCTGGTCTGGCACCTGGACCCGTGGGTGCACAACTCATGTTTGTTGAATTAACTCCCTTTCTTTTAGCGCAGCAAGTGCCCAAATTCCAGGTAGCTGGAATCCAAACAGATGCATTTTTTATTCTGGAAAATGAGTTGATCGGGATGGGACGCACAGCAATTCAAGGTCACAGAGCAAAGCTTTAAAAGAAAACCAACCTCCATGATTTCTGGGACCTTCTTCGGCTGGGTAACCTAGGTTTTTTGTTTGTTTGCTTGCGTTTAATTGCATGCAGGCATTTTGCTGTCAACAAGGGGCTAAAATTAAAGGAAGAAAAGTACCCGCGGTTCTCATAGGCTTAGCTGATCTCTTCCCTCCGGCGGGAATGGGGGATTCAGTGGCCGCAGAAAGGTTAGCTGGCAGTGACAGCCTTCTCAGGAGGAGGAGCTGGGCAACAGAAGGAGCCCTGCTCTGAGGAGGGACAGGTGCCGGGCAATGGGACACCCGCAAATGCCTGCACGTACAGAGTCAACCCCTCCTCGACTCTTCCGTGCAGGAGCACAGCTGTGCCTGGTGACTAAAGGGAGGGAGTGGCCGGAAAAGGGGAAGGCGTCACTGTGAGCCCTGTGCTCGCCGATGAGGGACACCAGCGAGAAGCGGCTCCAAGGGACAGCTGGTGAACCGAGTGGCCTGCTCGGGGCACCTAGTGGCTCCCGGGCTGCTGGCATCACGGGGTCATGAAGACTGAGAGGCTTAGATGAGCAGACGTCAGAGGACAGGAGGCCACCGTGAAAGTGCTTCCACTCGGGAGCCCCCACCGCTTCCTCCCTAGGGCCTCCCCAGTCAGGGCCTGAGTGGTCTTCTGAATGGAAGGATCTGGAAGGAAGAAGGATCCCTTGCCTCAACCTTTCAGTGGCCTCTTACTGTGTCTTCAATAAAATCTAAATCCCTGCTCGGCCCGTGTGGCTCAGTTGGTTGAGCGTCCTCCCATGCACTAAGAGGTCACTGGTCCATTCCAGTGAGGACACATGCCTGGGTTTCAGGCATGATCCCCAGCAGGGGGCGTGCAGGAGGAAACCGATCATCGGTGCTTCTAGCTATCTCTCCCTCTCACTTCCTCTCTCTCTCAAAATCAATAAAAACATGTTTTTAAAAAACCTAAATTCCCGCCAGGCCTAAGCCTGCAGCTGTCTCACTTGGCGCCCTCCTCCCTGGTTTGTGGCACTCAGGCCAGTGGACAACTTTTCAGCTCTTTCCTATGGCAGGGCCTTTGCACGTGCTCCCCTCTCTCCGCTGGGACTACTCTCCCCATCTTCAGGACTCACCTGCCTCTGACATTTCAACTTGAACTTGTTTTCTTCTTGAATTTGCTCCCAGCACTGTTCTTCCTCTCATTTTCATGTGTGTTTGCTTGGTTCACACCTGTCTCTCCCACTAAGCTACAAACTCCAGAGAACAGACTGTGAGAGGCAGAACAATCCCCACCCTCCCCTGTCCTAATCCCTGGACACTGTGACCACATTACTTCACGTGGCGAAAGGGACTTTGCAGATGTGACCACGTTGAGGATCTTGAGATGGGGAGACTATGCTGGGTTCTCTGGGTGCATCCTAAATGCAATCACAAGGGTCCTCATGAGAGGGAGGCCACTCTCATATAATGAGGCCACATAATACCTCATGGCTACTCTAAAGATCCATGGCCGGAGGATCCGAGTCAGAGTCAGAAAAGGAGGTGTGAGAATGGAAGCAGAGGCTGGAGTAGTGCGGGGCCACCAGCCAAGGAATGCTGGCGGCTACTAGGAGCTGTCAGGCAAGGAGATGGATTTCCCCCCTAGAACCTTGCAAAGAAAACACCCTGCTGACACCTTGATTTTCAGCCCAGAGACACAAAATGTGGACTTGTGACCTCTACCACTGTAAGGTAATAGATGTGTCCTGTTCTAAGGCATGAAGCCTGTGTCAGTGTTACAGCAGCAACAGGAAACGCACACTGGGCGTGTCTGCTTTGTGCATGTCCCCTCCGTACATAGTGCCTCGGACAGTACCTGGTACATAGGAGATGCTCAATAAATGTGTTTTCAGGAAATAAATACATGGATGTGGTTGGAAGGCCAGAAGACGACTTGAGAGGGAGAAAAACTGCAGCTCTGGGCAGTGCGTGAACTCAAGTGGGAATGTGTGAGGCAGAAGAATCCTGGGGTCCTGTCACCCACCTACGTCCTTCCAGAGGTGAGAAAGCTGAAGCCGGAGGTCACATGGCAGGAGTGTGATAGAGGACAGTGAATCCACAACTCCAACCTGCTCATGCAGAGCCTCTCCTGACGTGGGGGTGACTCAGAATACAGTCCGCTCCGCTCAGGCGTGGGGGCCCTGAGAGCCTGGGCCCAGGGTCCCCTGCCAGTTTCAACAATTTAGCTCATAAGATAACTGCCAGCTGCCCCTGTGACTTAGACGTGGGTGGACACCCCGGATTGCTGCTGACCAACAGACATAGTCTTTCCTTCTCGGAGCCTCCGTTTCCTCTCCTATTAAACGGAGCTGATAATACCTTGTGGCTACTCTAAAGATCCAGGGAGTCATGTGTGGCCAGTGTCCTGCATGTAAGACTCGCTCCACATGCCTTCAGGCGTGCCCCCAAGTGACCCTGGCATGAACCCAACACCTCCTCGCCTCCCGAGCCCTGGGGTACCTGGCAGGTTGAAGGTCTTCTGCTGCCTGGTGCACTGCGGGGAAGGGTGGAGGGGAGACGGCGCGTG